ATTGAAAGTCCTGCCTGTTTCAAAATAAAATACAAGAAGGGATGTAGCTCAGTGGTAGAGCACTGGTCTAGCATGTGCAAAGGCCCAAGGTTCAATCCCAAGCATGCGCGCGCGTGCACACACACACACACACACACACAATTACTCTTATACCAGTGGAGGATTCCTGTCCCCCCTACCCCAAGGCTTAGAAAACAATATAGTTCAGATAGAAAGTCTAATATTCACAATTAATCTTGGAGGACTAAGAAGACTCTATAGAGTACTTGTAAAGTCTCAGACATGTTTTTATAATTTAAGACTGCAAAAATGAGACTGCCCTGATTCCATCAACATTCATCAGAACCTGCTACATGGCTCTGTGCTGGGGAGCAAGGAAGACACAGAGATGAATGAAGGGGCAGCATTCCAGCTCCAAGGAGAAGAGCCACATGTACAGGCATGGCCCTGTACTCAGCCTCACCATGACCAGGGAAATGGGCACTCTGGCACACCATTGGTGGGTTGAAAATTGGTGCAGTTTTACAGAAGGTAACATGCAATATATTCAAAATATTTCAATGTATGTACCTCTTAGTCTAGCAAGTTCACTTCTAAGACTATCCTTAATAAATGCTTCCTGAGGGGCATGGTGGTGCATGCCTGTAATCCCAGTGGCTCAGGAGGCTGACACAGGAGGATCACCAGCCTCAGCAATTTAGTGAGGCCTTAAGCAACTTAGTGAGACCCTGTCTCTGAATAAAATAAAAAAGTGCTGGGAATGTGGCTCAGTGGTTAAATAACCCTCTGTCCAATTCCTGCTACCAGAAAGAAGAAATAATAAATAAATAACCTAAGTATTCATCAATAAATAATTGGCCAAGGAATTATGGTAAAGTGTACCGGCATGAGATAAAAAAATCCAATGGTGAAAATGAGGTCGTGTATGTGGACTGGTGTGGCATGATCTCTAAGATATATCAAAAACTAAGAAAAAGAAGGTGCAGGAAGGACAGTGGTATAGCATGCATCTCTCATGTAAAAAAAAAATGGTAAGAATGTTCATGCAGGGGCTGGGGCTCTAGCTCAGTGGTAAAGCACTTGCCTTGCCTGTGTGAGGCACTAGGTTCAATCCTCAGCACCACATAAAAAGAAGTATACTGTGTGTTCATCTACAACTAAATAAATATTTTTTAAAAAAATGCTCATGCATACTTGTTTTTTATAGGCATAGAGCAGGGGTTAGCAAACTAGGGTCCACAGGCCTAGTTTAGCCGGCTATCAGTTATGGCACAGCCAGTGAGCTTAGAATGGCAACAAGATTTTTACATAGTTGAAAAACAGTCAAAAGAGGAATTCAAGGCACATGATAATAGCATGAAATTAAAATTTGTGTCTATAAATAAAGTTTGGTTGGCACATAGCCACACTTATTCATTTATATTTTGTCTATGACTGCTTTCTCAATATAATGACAAAGATGATTAGTTGTGACAGAGACCTTAAGCCTGCAAAGCCTAAAACATTTACAACCTGGCCCTTCACAGACGAGGTTTGCTGATTCCTGGCCTGGCCTTTCTGGAAGGAAACACTGAACTGGTGCCCAGCAGGCTGCTCTGGGAGGGGACTGGGCAGCTGGGGACAAAGGGTAGGAGCAAGACATCTCCCCATGCACCCTTTGGGACTTATTCAAAAAACGTCAACAAAAGCTATAGGTTTACGTATGTGAATATATTAGGATATTTTTATGTAGACAAATATTTCAGGAGCTATACACTAAATGGTTAATGAGGTTACTTTGTTGGAGAGGGTTAGTTGGGGAGAAAGGATTCAAGTGATTTAAATATATTGTTGCAATGTTTCACAAGGAGAATCACTTAATGTATAACTTGTGCAGTTAAAAATAAAGGATGCAGGGGCTGGGATTGTGGCTCAGTGGTTGAGTACCTGCTCAGCACTTATGAGGCACTGGGTTCGATCCTCAGCACCATGAAAAAATAAATAAATAAAATAAAAGTATTGTGTCCCTCTACAACTAAAAAAATATATTGAAAAAGATAATGCAGGCCAAGTGTGGTGGTGCATGCTTATAATCCCAGTGTGTTGGGAGGCTGAGACAGGAGGGTCTCAATTTCAAGGCCAGCCTCAGCAACTTAGTGAGGGCCTAAGCAACTTAGTGGAGATCCTGTCTCAAAATAAAAAATATTATTATATTTATTTAACATCCTTGGGGCTCACTCACATTGTTGCAAATGACAGGGTTTCGTTCCTTTATATGGGTAAATAATATTCCATTATCAACATACACCAAGTTTTCTTCCTCTGTTCCTCTGTAGATGGACACCTTGGTTGAGTCCATATCTTAGTTATTATAAATAGTACTGCAACAGACATGGGAGTACAGGAAATAAATACATACAAAGGACTGGGAATATAGCTCAGTGGTAAACTTCCCCTGGGTTCAATCACCAGGACCAAAATAATAGATAAATAAAATAAATAATGAATTTGTTAAAGAGGAAAAAAACAAGATACTTTCATAAAAATAGCCCTTATGGTACTTTTAGAGCTGTGTGTTCTGCGAGGTCCCTCACTGTAGCTCCTGGCACAGGGTGTGGCCCACCTCAGGTTACCATAGGGCTAATCTAGTTATAGAATGAATACAGCTGCTCCAGAGATGTGTCAAGAGTGAGAGTGTCCTTAGAGGGCTGCGGAGTTCAGAGTGTGCTGGGCTCTGCAGGGATGGCCTGGGAAATGGGGCCCCTCCTGGCAGAGCAGGAACACCATCCCTGAAGCCTTCCCGGCCCAGGGCTGCAGTTCTCTGTGGTCTGCAGGCACCTTGGTGGACGAACCTGATGAGTGCCTGAATCTGCTTTTCCTTTACAGTCTCTTGAAGGACCCCAGGGAATCTAGCTGGGGCTTGTGCAGGCCTGGCTCTCACTATTGCTCCTTGGATCTGCCCTTCATCAAACACCATCTGTGGTGTCACTGCTCTCTGGTGGGCAAGAGGGACTCCTCCTGCCTGCTATCCAGGGCTGCAAGAATCCCACGCCCAAGGACCAACCCTGTGGGGGCTGCAGAAGAACTACCTGGAGGACATTGAGATAGCCTGGCTCTGGGGACAGCCAGCAACAGCAGTGTCCCACACATGGACAGACTGGAGGATGCCTCTTGTTTTCCTCATCCTCACCTCTTCTTTCAGAAACAAGGCCCCTATTTTTATTTAGGGAGCCCTTTATAGTCAGTCCAGTTAGTGTGGGTGGGACTGACCCAACCTAGGATGCAAGATTGGGCACGTGGTACAGACCTGGCCAATCGGAACATTTCATTTCTCTGGCCACTGTGATTGGTTCGGAGAGGGACATGTGACCAAGCTAAGCCAATGAATATCATTCCTAGGTTTTTTGCTGGCCCTATCAAAAGAGAGGAACTGTGTTTGGTGGGATTGTTTCACGCAGAGCCACCTTTAGAGCTGGACTTTTCGCCACTGTGTAGAGCCAGTGACCTGAGATAGGAGGAAGTGGCACTGAAACTTAGAGGCTGGTTCCTGATGATATTGTTCAAACTGGATTTCAGTTGTGCCTGCAGTCTTTATCTACCCTTCCCTCTTTTTCTTAGGCTGGTTTGTATTGGCAAGAGTGTGGGCTAAGGCGCAGGACTGGGGGAGCCAAGCTTCAGTCGGATTGTGCACATTTCGTGGAAATACCCCCTCCCACCTCCAGCCACTCACTCTGCCCCGCCAGGCTTGCTGTGTGCATTTAGGGCCCTCTGTTACCCTACCCTATGCCCGGGGAAGGCTGCTTCTCTGGCATGCAGATTGCCAACCTCGCTTTGGGTGAGGTGTCTGACCTGCCTCACAGTCCATTCCTCTAAATTCCAATCTTTGATTATCCAGGACTGCTGTCTGCGTGTGTGGGCGCACACCCACCCACCCACATGCGCTCTCTCGCGCGCGCGCACACACACACACACACACAGGCGTGCCTGCGCACCTACCTGCCCTTGACGATTGAAATGCAGAGACCGTTTTTGTTCTTTAACCTTTATTGAACACTTCCTGTATGGCAGACTCCATGCAAAGAATATTTGCTGTATAATCTCATGTAATCTTCTCAATAACCCTATCAAGTAGTTTTATGATTATTTTATGATTATTTTCCCTTTTCAAGAAATGGGAAGCAGTGGCTTAGGAAGGTGAGGTAAATGGCCTGCAATCAAACAGATGAGTCACATCTAGGACGAAGCACGGCTGGGCGGAGCCATTGGAGGGAACTGACCCCAGAGCCTTGCTCTGATCCCTGCACTTGTGCTTCTAACCTGAGTGGACTCCAGGACCATTTGAGTGCAAGTGTCCATTCCAGAACCTCCTCCTCCTCCTCAACACTAAGCCAGGTCTGAGCAGGCCTGAAAGATGCCTGGCTTTTCTTTCTTTTCTTTTTTTTTTTTTGGGTGTGGGGGGGGGGTGGACTGTGTTTTGTTTGTGTTTGGTGCTTGGTATTGAATCCAGAGGTGCTTTTCCACTGAGCTACATCTCCAGTTCTTCCTATATTTTATTTTGAGACAGGGTCTCACTAAGCTTCTGAGGCTGGTCTTAAACTTACGATCCCTCCTGCCTCAACCTCTGAGTCACTGTGATTACAAGTTTGTGCCACCATGTGCAGGGAAAGCCATTTAGTTAAATGAATGCTCTAGAGGACCCTGAGGTATGAGGTCCCCAGGACCTCACCCTGACAGTAGCCACTGTTTCCCCAGCAAGGACTTTGGCTCTAGAAAAGAGTTTGGTATTGCCAGATCTATTCTTGCAGGAGCCAAAGTTCTGGCCTGGCTGAGGAATGATTATGACACAAGACAAACATCTCTGCTGACAGAAGGAAAAGAGAGATCAAGGGCATAAGAATGAGCAACTCATGCAGGAGAGAAAAACAACAAATTAAAGAATAACATCATTCCACTCCTCAGGGGGTGGTTGTGAGGGTATGAACTATAAAAGGTAAGAGTTGTAAGCCAGGGTCTGGGAGAAACTCAAATTATACACGTTTTCTTCATTTTTTTCCTGAGAAGAAACAAGTCTCATGGCCTCAAGGATGAAGTTCTAAGTTTTAAAACGTATCACTCAGCAGGATCTGGCCAGGCTCCCTTGAAGCCTGGCTTTTAGGTATGCTATTCTCTCTGCTTGGAATGCTGTCTCTTCCCTTCCCCTCCTTTGCTTGATAAATTTCTACAACATGCTTCAGCCTCAGCATGGCTGGCACTTCCTCTGGGAAGCCTTCTCTGACCACCAATTCTGGGTTAGACGCCTCCTCCTCCTATCTCACTTTCATGAGTTTCGATTGTACCACTGGTATTTTGTGTTTTGATTCACACCCCTAGACTAAAGGTTCTGAAGGAATACCTCTGTCTGTCTTGTTCTGTATCATATTCTCAGCACCAGACATTCGTTAACAATTCAATGAATGAGAAATGAGTGAATGAAGGTTTAAGAAACCCAAACAGCAAGACCTGGGGCAGATTTATGCAGTACTCACTCTGACCACTAGGTGGCACACCGCTATGACATCCCCAATCGGGTTGGTCTGGGAGTGGGGGTGAAAGTGAGGGATGAGTCCGTTAATGGGATAAGGCAAGACGCCCCAGTGGGCCTCTAATCTTCTCCAGCTGGAGACCTTTGTGAGCCTTCACGTGTATGGAAATACTTGCTCAGGTAGTTGCCTCCATCCAGAACCTCATTCTCATGCAGGGTTACATCAGCAGGCTACAGATCAAATGCTTCTCAGCATCTCCAAAAGTTCTTGTCTTTGGAGGTTTGTGGCTCAGTGGTAGAGCCTAGCATGTGTGAGGCGCTGGGTTCCATCCTCAGCACCAAATAAAAATGAATAAATAAATGAAATAAAAGTATTGTGTCCATCTACAACTAAAAACAAATATATATTTCTTAAAAAAAGTTCTTGTCTTGCTTATCAAAGAATGGATGTCGTTATGGTTATCGTTGTTGCTGTTGATTGCTTGAAATTGTTGTTCAAGTTGCTTTTTCTTATTGCTATTTAGGAATTAGGTAGATTCTGTCACTTTTAGAAACTGAGCCACCACTGAGTCCTGTCTTCCACTCTACAGTTTATCCAAAACCTCTACTTTTTAAAAGTAGACACACATACACACACACACACACACACATTTTTTTTTTTTTTTGTGGTGCTGAGGACTGAACCCAGGATCTCACACATGTTAGATGAGCTCTCTACCACTGAGCTACATCTCCAATCCAAAAGCCAACTTTTTACATTACTTCTTGAGAATTTCAGGGTGCATGACAAGTGACAACAAAGTAATGCTGAAATGTAGCCTCTGGGCAGCAGGCTGGGCTCACTTCCTGGTGCTATTCTAGTGTGTTAAACTCCTGATACAAAATGATAAATTAATATATGCCACGAGCATTCTAGTTCACTCACTAATAATTTAAACTAAACATCAAACCGAACCTTGCTATGAATCTAAGGTAGCAAGCCAAGGGCTGGCTAGTTTTCCCATAAGCTCCACCAGCCCCACAATATTATTAGAACGGTGGTATCATTTGCAGAATTTTTTCCTTTGGTCCGGATGCCGTGGCGCACACCTGTAATCCCATAACTCAGGAGGCTGAAGCAGGAGGATCACAAATTCAAGACCAGCCTCGGTAATTTAGCAAGACCCTGTGTCAAAATAAAAAATAAAAAGGACTGGAATGTCACTCAGTGGTTAAGTACCTCTGGGTTTGATTTCCAGTACCAAACAAACTTTAAATTAAAAAATAAATTTAAAAGATCTGGAAAGTAATAAAAACCTCCATGTGGCATAAATTCAGTAACTTGGAGTCCAAGTTACTTCTGGAAAAAGTCACGAACTGAACGCTGGCCTAGCGAGGTTAATTCTTGATGACCTGTTGTTGTTCCTGTACCTATTAAATAACCTCTCTGTCCCTTTGCTTCCTTATCTTCCCAGTGGAGGCAGCAGGGCTGCCAGGGCTGACCCCACCGAAGGGCTTCGGACCCTCCTCTTTGTGTATATATTTGACTTGGAGCTGGTTCCAGACCAGCACAGTCACAGTAAGAATTTACAAAGGCCTTTGGCAATCTTGCTTTGCCGGGCTCCCTGGCCGATGCCAGTCTTTGCCCATTACACTCTCCTATCTGAACAGTGTGGGAATTATCTGCAAACAGCCTTATTTGTTCTCCTACAGTCCAGCTAGGATGACAGCCATAAAGACTGCTTTGTGGCTCTTTGAGCTGTGGATTGAAGGGTGTAGAAGCAGAAGTCGAGTGGGTCAAGGGCCTTGCCCCAATATTGCCCAGAAAAGGGCACATTGGGAGCGAGCCCCAGCTAGCACTCAGGGGTCTTGAGGCCCAGGTGGTGCATTCTCTCTCCGGCGGGCTGTTTCCAGGTGCTGGGGTGGTGTGGGGGGGAGAGGGGTGGATATGGGTAGATATGAACCATTCAATCTCAGTCCTTTTCTCAATGAGGACCTAATGGGCTTCCTGAAAAATAGGTTTGTGCTAAGCTTCATATGAGATTTGGCAGTGATTTCTTGGATAAGATACCAAAGTCACAGGCGACAAAAGAAAAAGATGGAAAAACTGGACGTTATGAAAGTTTTAAAAATTCTGTGTATCCAGGCACTTTTAAGCTGGGCACAGTGGGGCACACCCATAATACTGGCCGCTTGAGAGGCTGAGGCTGAAGTATCATAAGTTCCAGGCCAGCCTCAGCAATTGTAAGACCTAGTTTCAAAAATAAAAATAAAAACAAATAAATAAGTAAATAAATAAATAAATAAAAGGGCCGTAAATGCAGCTCAGTGGTAGAGCACTCCTGGGTTCAATCCCCAGCATGCTGGGAGGACGTGAGGGGGAAGAGTAAAAACAGAATGGGAGAAAATATTTGCAAATCTTAAATGAATTAAGGGATTAATACCCAGAATATGTGAGGAACTCCAGAAACAACAATAAATCATATCTAAAATTGAACAGAGTACTTGAATAGACATTTCTCCAAAGAAAATGTGCAAATAACCAATAAACACATGACAAGATATTTATTTAATGTCACTAATCATTAGAGAAATGCAAATCAAAACTACAATGAAATACAGCCTCACATCCATTAGAATGGCTAAAAAAAAAGAAAAAAGAAAAAAGGAAAGAAAGGGAATGAATAAATAATGAAACTATATAAAAAAAATAAATAAATACCAGGTGTTGGCGAGAATGTGGTAAAATTGGATCCTTTGTGCACTGTATTGATAGGAATGTAAAATGGCCCTCTGTAGAAAACAGTATGGCAGTTCCTCAAGAAAGTTAAAAATAGAATGTGCTACCACATGGATGAGCCTGGATGACATTATGCTGAGTGAAATGTGCCAGCCACGAAAAGACAAATACTATATGATTTTACTTACGTAAAATACTTAGAGTAATGAACATGACCGAGACAAGCAGGACTTGGTGGCACATACCTGATACCAGCTACTTGGAGGCTGAGGCAGGAGGATTGCAAGTTTGAGGCCAGCCTCAGCAATTTAGCCAGACCCTGCCTCAAAATTAAAAAAAAAAAAAGATGGGGGTACTGGGGATATAGCTCAGTGGTACAGTGCTTGCCTAGTATGCTTAAGGTCCTGAGTTTAATCCCCAGTACATTTAAAAAGAAAAAAATCAGAGATAATAGAATGAGATTTTTTGGAAGGGGAATGGGGAGTTATTGTCTAGTGGGTACATAGTTGCAGTTTACAAGGTGGAAAGAGTTCTGGAAATAGATGGTGGTGATGGCAACACAATATTATGAATGTATTTAATACTCTACACTTAAAATAGTTAAAGTGGTGAATTTTATGTTATATGTATTTTAGCATGATTTTTTTTAAAAAGCGTAAGAAATGAGTTCAGTATTGAGTTCATTGTTATAGAACGGGTGGGTAGTAAGAGTTGAGAGGGTGGAACAAGAGGAAATGAGTCCAGGTCCATGGCCTCAGAGAGCCTACAGTCTAATCAGGAAGGCAGAGTATTAATAAGCCAAGAAGATCGTGGCAAAGAGCAAGGCTCTGTGTCGCTCCATGTTACCCGAGGTCGTGTGTCCTTTGAAATCAAACAGAATTGGTTGGAATACTAACCTTCCTCATGTGGGAAGCCCGGTGCCCTCCAAAAGCTTCTCTAAATTCCCTGGAGCCTCTGTCCACCTTCCTGGGTCCCCAGGCCTGAGGTTCAGCAATCCCTGAGGCTGTTTTGATTCTAGGGCAATTTTCCTTGTTTCCTCTGAAAACTTGTCCTCCAGGGATTTGAGTACAGCCAATTTGACCAATGGTTGGGTGTGATCAGCAAGGCCAGCAACTGTAACCTCAATCCCAGGCAGAGGCCTTAGGCCACCTAGCCTGGCTCCTCCCTGGCCACCTGCCTCTACAGACCCTAGTTCTCTGTGTGGATGATTGGGCTGCATGCCTTAGTCAAAATTCTGTTTTCCAGGTCACCCCCTGGGGCTCCCCAGGAATGCAGCTCTCTTCACTGTGTTATTTGGAGCAAAGGAGTCTCCACCCCATTTATACCTAACTCCAGGTCCATCAATCTGGCATACTAGGACTGTTTGGAAGAAGCCTTCTTCTTAGGATCTCATCTTTTCCTAGGGAGGGAAACTGAAAAGGCATGGTAATCTCAGTCTCTTGTCTCTCTTGTACTCACCAGCCTTTTTAAGAAAAGAAATCGTCCAGAAATTTATTTTTCCATTGGTAGGAATTATATCTTCCTTCCTCTTCCTGGGAGGCCTGAGGAGGAAAGGTTCCATCCTGAGGGCAGCAGGAGAGGAAGAGGCGTTGGAACAAGGATGCCACAGGACAGATCTGAGCTTGGACAGGTTCCTGGGCTGGGCATGGTGGATTCAAGGAATGGACAGGAATAGGAAGCAGAGGCAGCATTTCCTGGGGTGTTGCAGCTGCCTGGGGGAGGCTAAGGGCTCAGGTCAGAGGGGAGGCCCTGTGCTAGGGTGATCGAGGGCAGGGATGGAGCTGGAAGACAGAGACTTGCTTCTGAGACCAGGGAGGTAGCTTTGGGGCTGTGGCTGGGGAGACCAGTTGGATGGAGCCCGAGTTGCAGGGGTGGATCCTCTTCTCTGGGAAGGTGGCCCTGCCCTGTGTTTTCC